TCCAGCTTCACATGTCTTTCTGCAGTCAGATCTTGACTGATTTGGATCAAGTAAAGGTCAGAATAAGTCAAGTCAAGTCAAGTCAAGTCACCTTTATTTATATAGCGCTTTTAACAATACAGATTGTGACAAAGCAACTGAACAGCATTAATTAGGAAAATAGTGTCAATAATGCAAAGTGACAATAGTAAACACTCATTTTTCAGTTAAAGACAGTTCATCATTGAATTCAGTGATGTCAACATCCAGCTCAGTTTAAATAATATCTTTGCAATCATGTCAACGATATCGCTGGAAATGAAGTGTCCCCAACTAAGCAAGCCAGAGGCGACAACTGCAGTCATATCTCCAGATGAACTCTCACTGCTCTGAAGCAGCTCAGCTTTACTTGATTCTCCATCAATCATGTTTTAGAGTCTCAAATCTGATCCTCAGGATCTTTTGAGGAGCGTTTGTTTCCAGAAGCTTTACTTTCACTGTTCGTCAGCGGAGGAATGATCTTCACAAGCCTCCAGAACATCTCACATCTTCTGAGGAGCCTTTATTTCTTCAGCTCTCAATCACTGCTTTATATGTTTGGAGCATTTCAATCTCATCTCACTGAGACAGATTACTGGAGATATAGAGCGACCGCTGATATTTAGATCAAGTTTTAAAGATCCTGAAATATTTAATGGTCAAATAAAATGTGCACTGAAATCGCTATAACATTTATAACGTTGCTTCACTTTATATCACATCTCAGTCAATTTCTCCAGTTTATAAACACAAACCCATGATTTGTTCATGTGTACAGTAATGTTATGGAGCTCTATCCCTCATTTACGAGACAGAGCAACACAAGGATCGATGGCATTAGAACCATTTATTCAGAAATACAGTAAAAATGCCATTGTCAAAGTCAATCTGATAATGACTTGAATATATCTCTTCTATTATGAATACGTTTTCTGGTTCGGTCTCTTTGATGGAGGTTTGAAGTAATTTTTTGAGAAGTTGGTTCGTTTACGTCACACCAAAAACAATAACAAACAGCAACATGTAAGACCACTGGATTCAGTTTGTGAAACTGCTTTGTAAACCATCGTGTAGACCTCTGTAAATGAAGACTAAGCTCAGTAGATGCTTATGATCACAAAAGGCTAGTCAGTGATCCTTGCAGGTAAGTATAGTATTGTGAGGTGTGAGAGGAGCAGATGCGTCACATGACTAAGCGTTCAACAGAAATCAGAAGCAGTGGAAATTAATTAGCCAGCGTGTCCTAACGCACTTTGAGTGCTCAACAGCACTTTCTGCATAAAACATGAAGCTATAAAGACGTGATCTTAACATCTGATCATTTTAACACTATCCATTGACTGAGTAAAGCTGGAGCTCTCATTACTGCTCATGTAAGCGTGCTGTCGTTGCTCACGCTCTTCAGTAATGTGCATTAACAGAGAGCATCAGAAACACAAGCACTGCACGCTTCAGTCATGCTCTGATTCCTGCAGACCAGCATACACATATACTACTGTTACTGATTACAAACACTTTTTATGGATTACATGATGACATATTGTTCATGAGAAGGCAGTGAGTTATTCATAATTTATTGATTCTCTTTTTTTTTTCTCTTTTAAAGTTTTCTTAAAAACTTCTAATTTGGGAGGAAAAGCGCCTCTCAAGACCATGTATGAAACAAAGAGTTATGCGAGTTATTGGTGATGTATAGCTGTGAAACACTACGCCTTCAGTAACTGTTGATTCTGGACAAAAATATTTCAAACCTGGAAGACTTTGGGCGTGTAATGTCATTGTTGCTTTCATGTTTATTAATGTTTGTTCATATAATGTAGGGATTCCCAAAAGTTTTTGTCAGCTATGTCAATATGGTACACTTAAGTTTAAAAAGTTAGGTAAAAAGTGAGTAGGTTACTCAAATGTGTAACCTAGATTACGTTACACAGTGTGTGTGTGTCTGAGTGTGTGTGTGTGTATTTCTGAGTGTATATATATGATTGTGTGTGTGTGTGTGTGAGTGTGTCTGTGTATCTCTGAGTGTGTGTGTGTGTCTGAGTGTGTGTGAGTGTCTGAGTGTGTGTGTGTGAGTGTGTGTGTGTCTGAGTGTATGTCTGAGTGTGTGTGTGTGTGTGTGTGTGTGTGTATTAAAAAAAGATTTTAGGATTGAAAATTATTCCTCATGCTCACTAAACCAGTATCACAAACTGAATCATGAATCATGAAATCCTGGAATATGTTTACATGGTTTCATCTTCTGACATGGCTGTTTGAGAAATAAAAAGAACACACTGCATCATTTAGGGTTAAAAGAATTGTTGCCAAACATACAACATGCCAGAAACACATTAATTACTGCACTAATGATCCAATCCTAGACTTGAGTATTTGCTTATTTCCATCCAAATGTCTTTTTTTTCTTGACCAGGCAGTGTATGCAATTCTGAGAAATGGAGCACATGTTCAGTTGTGACTAAAGTTGAAAATGAACTTAATTCATAACAACAGCCTCTTTCAATATACTGTAACCATCCTAAAAGAGCTTGAAAGGCATTCATAGTCCCAGCATAACTGAATCACGAGGAACGTTTGTGTGATTTTCCTGGAAGGAGGAATGATTCTGCACAGCAGGTTTTCACAGAACAGGACACGAAAGCTTTTCTCAGATATCTGTCAGGTGCGACATCGATTCTTCTCACTTGAGCCGCCTCTCATGAATCTAAAACAGAACCGATATCCAGTTCTCCGGCGGAAGCTCGACTGATGGACAATCACAGATATTATACTTGAGGCATAGTTTGTAGTGTCCAACAGTCATAGAAACCCCATCTCAAGCTACTAGTGATCTGAATTCTGTCCTGCTCACACGTCTTGCTGAAAGAACACAACGTGCTCAGTCTTTATGTTTAGCTGACCGTCTTTAACATGACCGAGAGAAGTGCTGTCATCTGTGGTGTGCCGTACAGAAACACTAACACTAAGATTTTTTATAATGTTTCTGAAAGAAGTCTCTTCTGCTCACCAAGACTGAACTTATTTGATCAAAAATATGTTCACAAATATTGTAAAATATTATTTGTTTAAAACAGCTGTTGTCTATGTGAATCTCTGTTAAACTGTAATGTATTTCTGTGATGCGCAGCTGTATTTTCAGCATCATTCCTCCAGTCTTCAGTGTCACATGATCTTCAGAAATCATTCTAATATGCTGATCTGCTGCTCGAGAAACATTTCTGATTATCATCAATGTTGAAAACAGTCGTGCTGCACAATATTTTTGTGGAAACTGATACATTTTATTTTTCAGGATTCACAGATGAACAGAAAGTTCAAAAGAACAGCATTTATTAGAAATAGAAATCTTTTGTAACATTATAAATACCTTTACTGTCACTTCTGAATTCCTTACTGAATAAAAGTATTAATTTCTTTAAAAAAAAAACTCAAACTTTTAAACATGAATGTATATATTTGATCATTTATGATGTAGTTTCAGATACTAGTGTGGAGTTGTTTTTATTTGTTCAGATTTCCACTGGAAATAGTAAACCATCCAGGAACCTTATGGATGCTCATTTCAACACACTACGGTCTGGAGCACACTAATTCTAATTTCAAATACTGTTTAGGATGGACAGTATGTGAATTGGGAGGCAGCTTTAGTAGAGAAGCGTGTGACAGTCGTCTTGTAGTTCAGATGATCAGACAAAAGCACAGCGGAGAATGAGCTTTACTTGCAGTGACTGCTGATACTGAGCTGATATAAGCGTGACCTCTGCTGTTCTTCCCTGAGGGGCTTCAGAAGAGACTCATCTGAATAACACACAGTCAGCAGCACACATGTCCCTCACTAATCACAAACCGATATTCCTTGATCTTGATGCTGCTCGGCTGCACTTTCTGGTTTTAAGAAGACAAACGTTTTTAAAGACACATTTCCTCACAGTCTATCATGGCTCGTCAATCTCAAAATTCTCAAGACGGCCAATCAAAACCAAAGAAGACAGGCTTTACTCTTCACAGAAACTGAACGTGAATTCCAGCGACGCAAGAACTAGATAAACGTCATCTGACAACTGTTTCACAACAGAGAGATGTCCGATGATGAAAACTGTTCCAGCTGGTCAAATTCTGCTATTTTAAGAATATAGCCTTTATCATTTACATAATTCATCTAATTTGTAATAAAATGTGACGAGACAAGAAAGATTAACAGATATTTTAGGCATATTAAGAGTGTGCATATTCCAAAATAAGTATTATTTGCAAATAGTTCAAATAAATCCCTTTACAACCGATTCTAGTTCTTTAACCATTATCTTTCTTTATGTAAAAGCGTAATTACACTTTTACAGTGTCGCCTCAAAATAGTGAAACCTGTGTTAATAATTACACAAATAAGTACTAAATAATACTAATTAACTACATGTACTTACCGCAGGGTTTGGTTTAGGGTTATTTGCTTTTAATTAAGCATAATTTACTGTTATTACTATAGTAAGTACATGTAACGTGTGACCGTCATGTTAAAGTAAAGCATTGCCCCATTACATTTGTGACCTGCCACACCCTCAGTGCTCAAGACATGCTTACAGCCATGAATACAGAGCGTGTGTGTGAGAGAGTGTGTTTGAGTGAGTGTCTGTGTGTGTTTGAGTGAGTGAGTGAGTGAGTGAGTGAGTGAGTGTGTGTGTGTGTTTGAGTGTGTGAGTGAGTGAGTGAGTGTGTGTGTGTGGGTGTGTGTGAGAGAGTGTGTTTGAGTTTTTGTGTGTGTGTGTTTGAGTGAGTGAGTGAGTGAGTGAGTGAGTGAGTGTGTGTGTGTGTTTGAGTGTGTGAGTGAGTGAGTGAGTGTGTGTGTGGGTGTGTGTGAGAGAGTGTGTGTGTGTGTGCGTATTTGAGTGTGTGTGAGTGTGTAGTGTGTGTGTCTGTGTGTGTTTGAGTGTGTGTGAGTGTGTAGTGTGTGTGTGCGTGTTTGAGTGTGTGTGAGTGTGTGTGTGCGTTTGAGTGAGTGAGTGAGTGAGTGAGTGTGCGTGCGTGTGAGTGTCTGTGTGAGTTACCTGGTCTTTGACGCTGTCCCCAGTAAACATGTATTTGATGTGGTACAGGAAGTCACAGATGGGGTCCATATAGGCCAGGTGTTTACAGTGCTGGTCCACAGCCTGAAGCATCTCATAAAACGCCACTCCAATCTGAGAGAGGAGGAACACATTCATCTTAACTCACACTAGACAGCAAAGACCTCATGATATTCATCACAACACAGATTACGATTCAATACACTCTGATTCAAATCATTCTGATTCATTAATATCAATGGCAGCAAGCTTAATCTTTAATGAGCCGAAAAGAACGCACGTCACACCTCTGTTCATCAATCTGCACTGGCTACCAGTAGCTGCTCGCATTAAATTCAAGGCATTAATGTTTGCCTACAAAACC